TGCTGTGCCATAGTGCCGGCCCCTAAAGATTTTGAATTGGCCTTTTATCAGCTCAGCTTATTGCTAATCATTCTTGGGCCAGTTTCTCACGTACCCGTAGCTGTCTGCTCAGTGCCAGGGCTCTAAGCTTTTGATTTCACTTAAGAACATAATAGCAAGCTGGGATCCAGAAAGGATTTACCTGCTTCTAATAGGAACTTTTTATTTGATTTGATTTTTTCCATTTGAAAATGCAAACATTGTTTTATCTCTAAACAGTATAACATGTAAAAACAAAAAGTATGGCTTTATTTTTTTTTAAGATTTATTTATTTATTTATTTGAAAGGCAGAGTTACAGAGAGAGGTAGAGACAGAGAGAGAGAGAGGTCTTCGATCCGCTCTTTCTCTCCCCAAATGGATGCAACAGCCAGAGCTGGGCTGATCCAAAGCCAGGAGCCAGGCAATTCATCCCGGTCTCCCACGTGGGTGCAGAGGCCCAAGGACTTGGTCCATCTTCTACTGCTTTCCCAGGCCATAGGAGAGACCTGGATCAGAAGTGGAGCAGACGAGGCTCGAACCCGTGCCCATATGGGATACCGGCACTGCAGGCTGTGGCTTTATCAGCTACAACACACTGCTGGCCCCAACAGAAAGTGTTTTTAGAGGACTGGCATTGTGGTATAGTGGGTTAAGCTGCTGCCTGTGACACCAGCATCCCGTATAGGTGCTGGTTTGACACTTAGCTGCTTCCACCTAACACATCCTCAGTAATGGCGGCCATTTGGAGAGTAAAACAATAGATGGAAGAACTCTCTCCCCACCCACTCCCCCTTTGTAACTCTGCCTTTCAAATAAATAAAAATAAAACTTCTTTTTAATAAATAGAAAGTGTTTTTAGGTATTTCTGCCACTTGCAAAATAACTATCTGTGTTATAGTTACAACTGAAAATTAATAAAACCTGTGTCCTGGAACTTGCTTTTGAAGACCTGTGTTCCAATTTTGGCTTTAGCACTTACTAACCTTAAACGCTGGGCAGGGGTCTAGCCTTAGTTTCCTCAGTGTGCAATTGAGGAATCTTTTCTCATGGGATTGAGGGAAGGTTTAAATGGAGTTTTGACCATGAAGTTGAAGTTTTATTAGTATGTATTTAGAGAACTGATTTATTTTATTTATTTTTTATTTTTTTATTTTTCTTTTTTTATTTAATAAATATAAATTTACAAAGTACAACTTTTGAATTGTTGTGGCTTTTCCCCCCATAACCTCCCTCCCACCAGCAACTGTCCCATCTTCCACTCCCTCTCCCATCCCATTCTTCATCAGGATTCATTTTCAATTATCTTTATATACAGAAGATCAACTTAGTACATACAAAATAAAGATTTCAACAGACTGCACCCTCATAGCCACAAAATATAGAGTACTGTTCGAATAGTAGTTTTACTGTTAATTCTCATAGTACAACACATTAAGGACAGAGATCCTACTTGGGGAGCAGGTGCATAGTGACTCCCGTTGTTAATTTAACAATTGACACTCTTATTTATGACGTCAGTAATCACCCTAGGCTCTTGTCATGAGCTGCCAAGGCTATGGAAGCCTCTTGAGTTCACCAACTCCAATCTTATTTAGACAAGGCCATAGTCAAAGTGGAAGTTCTCTCCTCCCTTCAGAGAAAGGTACCTCCTGTGATGGCCCGTTCTCTCCGCTGGAATCTCACTCACAGAGATCTTTCATTCATGTCATTTTTTTTTTTTTTTTTTTGCCAGAGTTTCTTGGCTTTCCATGCCTAAAATACTCTCATGGGCTTTTTATCCAGATCTGAATGCCTTAAGGGCTGATTCTGAGGCCAGAGTGCTGTTTAGGGCATTTGCCATTCTATGAGTCTGCTGTGTATCCTGCTTCCCCCATAGGATCATTAGAGAACTGATTTAGAAGCTGTCTAAAAATAGCAGTTCCAAAAATTTTGCTTTTGAAGGAAGATATTTACATGTGTAAGTTTTTATGCCTAGATTTTTTTTAATGGTAGAGTGAATAAATTTGTAGTCAGGGGACACACATTTTCTGATAGACTTAGGGAAGAGACATGACTTCTGGGATCAGTTTTAGTCCAGATAAATTAGGATCACAGTATCACAGGCTTTGAGAAATTACAGAAAGCTTGCAAGGGGGTGAGCCTGAATTAATGTATGTTGTTGGCAGGCTTTGTGCTGCACATGGTCACTGTAGAATCACAGGAAATAATGACATACACCCTTATGGGCAGGTGGCCTTACCCCTGTTTTGCAGATAAGAAAACTTGAGCTCTGAGAGGTTAAAATCATTTATGCAAGTCCAATATCAAAGCCTCGAACTTTCAGCTGCACTGACGATGGCTTCTAGAAAGTCTTGGCATTTATAGACAGGAAGACACCTTCCTCTACTCTGCTGGTTCTTTATTCTCTGCTTCCTGGGTCAGCCAGTAGTTCAACGCCAGTTAAAAGCAGGGGATATATGCAGTCATCATGTCCCTTAACTTGTCTAATGAATCTAGGTGAGTGTCTTGACTTTCCTTGCCAAGGATCTGCTTATAAAATATCTCATTTTGAGCTGCGTTGACTATATGGGTTCATCAGCTGTTACTTCTCTTTTGGAGAGAGATTTGTGGCTGCTTGTGGAGCTTTTAAGGTCAAGGATATATTTGAGAGATTTCATGATTTCTTTTCAAAAATACAGGTGGAAAATAAAATTCATTGATTATTTTCCACCATTGTCTTCTTCCATATGTGGACAGCCGTGTGAAAGAGGTGATAGGGAGCTGAGAATTAGGAGCCGTGGTTCTCATCTTGAATCTGTCACTGATAGTGGAGAGGACTTTGGGCCAAGCCCTGCATTCCTTCCCTGCGCATCGTGTCTTCACCTATCAAAAGTGAGGACACTCCTCGGTGATTTCAGAGATTTAAAAACTCTACATGTTTTGTGCTGTCAGAGCCATCAGTTTCTGCTGAGCTGCGTAATCCTGCAGCTGTTTCTCTGATACTTTTCAATCTTTAGATTTAATGTATTCAACAATGTATAATTTTTTAAAGGGAAGCTTTTATAGACACTTCTGAAATATAAGGGTGGGGGGGATAAATGGATGTTAAAAAATAGAAAACAACCAATTAAATAGTATATAGCATGTAATTCTCCTTGGAAACTTACCGCGAAATTGAGGAGCACTTTAACAACTGGTAATTTAAATTGCATTTGAACTCTGCTAATGGTTTGTTTGCATGGGAACTTCAATCATTTCCCAGCGGTTCTTTAGCAAAGCTGCTTGTTCTCTTTGTGGAAAAGAAGACAAAAATATTAAAAGAGAAATTGACAATGGGAAAGGGAGACCACCTTCATTTGTGCATGGAAGGAAGCTGGAGAGCCCACGAGGCTGCCCTGGGGCCAAGGGTGGAGAGCTTTTCCTTTCAGTGAAGTGTGGACATCTGGGAAGTCAGATGATCCCTGTAGCCACTGTGGAAACTGTTCTTTATTCCTCTCTCTGCAAGGAGGAGCTTTGGTTTTGTGGGGACCAGGAGTAGAGGGTTAGCTTTGTTTTCCTTGAGATTGCACCATCCGTGGTTCTGACGTTGGCCTACTCACAACCCAGTCCTCAGCAAGTTCCAATTCATGCCTCTCTCCCATTTCACTGGAAGTGCCGTTGGGAATTCTGATGTCCTTGCAGACTTGCCAACGTCCAGCTCTCAAGACTGCTCCTGATTGGGCTGCTGTAATTTCTTTCTGCTGTTGGGGTATGCTGGGAGGGCTTTGAAGCTGGTGCGCCAAGGCCTGGATGGATAGATAAATGCTGGTTTTGCTCTAACGCTAATTGTGTGACCAGGGCAAGTCTTTGTGCTCAGTGAACCTTGCTTGGTGTCCTGCATCCAAGGGGGCAGCAACCAGATGCAGTGGATCCAACCTTGGACCGCTTGCCGGTTGTGGTGGGTTTGCAGGATGGCCACCTCATCACCCTGGCTCCTAGGGTCTCTTCCTGTGAGTTGGAAGAGTTCAGGTGGGTCTCTTAAGTCCCTCCCAGCTTTGAGCTTAGGCAGGTTATTTGAAGACTGAATAAGATAATAAACCTGAAACAATTGAGTGATGGGCTAGGTAATATTTAAAATCATAGCAGTATACATGGGAGTGGCTAATTTTTTTGATATATGAATTTCTCCTGAACACAAAAAGTACAACCTTATAATAGCCCACTGTCCTGGAATAGTTGTCTGCTGAAATACATATTGCATTCTTCTCAGCAAAGGAGCACTAGTTCTTTATGAAATATAACCTATCAGGAAGGGGTAAGAGTTCCCGATCTTTTTTAAAGATTTATTTAGTTAGTTGAAGAGTTATAGGCAGAGAGGGAGAGATGAGGGGAGGAGGGAGGAAGGAAGGGAGGGGCCTGGTCAAAGCTAGGAGCCAGTAGTTTCATCCAGGTCTCCCACATGGGTGCAGGCACCTAAGCACTTGGGCCATTTTTTGCTGCTTTCCCAGGTTCATTAGCAGGGAGCTAGATCAGAAGGGGAACAAAAGGGAATCGAACTGGTGCCCATGTGGGATACAGACCGTGGCTTAACCTGCTGCGACACAGAACCGGCCCCAAGATTTTTCAATTTCTGCCGCTGACTAGCTTCTCAGTTTCTAGACAGAAAACTAAGGGTCAAAGGGTCACTTCCTTTTCTTTTTTGATTTGGTGTCTTTAAGATTTATCTGTTAACTTTTTTCTTTCCTAAAATATATCTAAGTGATGCGTCGCTTCCATCTCCGTTGTTAAGATGAAGCTGTCTCCCCAGAACTGCGATAGGAAAGTCAGGCGCCAGCATTCTCTTTCCATATCTTTCTGAGACCAATTAGTGCAATGAAAGCAGCAGGGACCGGCTGTGATTTAGGAGGTGCCAGAGTAAACCACTAGGGTTGTGGATTTCAAGCCTGGCAAAGCCTGGGGAGTTCGGAAGCTAGTATGACCCTTGGCGATTCATGAGCAATCTCCTTCTCCCATTATCTGCAGGTAGGAGCATTGAGTCCCTGAGACAGAATTGAAGATACAGCCTGGTCACTGATTCGTTGTTCCCCTGGACACTCATCAGAGGCAAGATCCTGCTCCTCCACTGGTGAGTTCTACACAAAAGAGAAGACTTCTCTTTCAACAGCAGTGTGCATTCTTTAATAAGTTTGAAAAATCAGTGGTTTTTCCATTTCAAGAACGTGCACAAGTGACTAGGATTAGCAACTAAAGAAATCTGACACATTCAGTTTTTTCTAACTTGATCTCATTGGCAATGAGCAGGGCATAATGATGTTAATAAAACGGGTGGCAAAGCAAAGGCAGGACTCAGCTCTTGGAAGGTGGTGTGCAAAGGAACTGGAAGAAAATTTGGACCAACAATGACTTCAGATTGCCAATAATTGTATTGCTTCCTTCTTTCTCCTTGGGCATGGAACAAGTGCTCTTGAAATTCAAAGCCCAAAATGAAGTTGTCAGTGGGTGGTATTAGGGACATTTGTGAGAGCCTCTTATTTATTTTGTGCAAGGTGCTTCTTCTTTTGTGATCTCATTCTGTTTTCCCACTCTGTGAGGTTGGGGAAACCAGATTTGCTTAGGCATAGCAAGTGCATCTCAGCCTTAAAGGGCTTGCCTGCACTCTGCTGGGAACTGAGTGTGGCTTCTGTTGGGTTGCGAAGGGAAATGGTGGCCAGGTAAGGTAGGCATTCCCTTGAGTTTTGGGACACTTTTGTGTTTACTAGGTAGAGTAGAACATCTTGTTCTTAACGAATGGGTGTGGTAAAATGAATCAGTGGTATAGCACGCTCCTGGCTGTGATGAGATCTGAGACAAATAGTTTGGGGGTTTTGGAGAAGGCTTTCAGTTAGACTCTGGTCTCTGGGCTGAGGGTGAATCCATAGGTGCCCCAGGCATGAGCTTTATACTGACTTAGTAATATGCCCTGCCATGTTCGTAATGTCATTTTTCAAAACTGGGGAGATGCTGATGTGATAGATCAAACCCAACTTTATTTAAAAGTGTAACTGAGTTTACAGAGATGTTTTATTGCTCTGTGTTTTCTTAATCAGTATACAGCTGACTCTGTGCCTGTTGATCTGCAAAACCTAAAAAGCTGGAATCGACTACTTTGACTTGTAAACATTTTAGACTGTTAAAGTTGCAAATGTCATCTTGAGTTACTTTTCCCCTAAAACACAATTTGAGCCTCGAATGGGAATCTCTCTGATCCACTCTACCTCCTGAGTTTGTTCAGTGTTTAAGTTGTGATGAACTTGAAGCCTTGTACTTGGATTTAAAAATGAAAATCAAGTGTGTAATGACAAATTGGGTGAGATTGCCTTAAAAGGAGCAACCTGGAAAAGACTCAGTAGTTTTTGTTGTTCGTCAGCTAGTTGTGAGCCAAAAGTGGCTTTTGTCTTCGGAGATGCTGATGCAGCCTTAGACTGCACTGAATGGAGTGTGGTATCCAGAACAAAATGGGTGGGCGATCTTGCACACAGGCAGGTTTAGAGGGAAGGTGGTCTTCGGGCTCAGTTTGAACAGCACTCCAGCTTTGGTTCCCTGCCACGCTCCTTGCGTTGCTTCTCTGGTGTGCTGGCTTCAGCCTCAGCATCTTTTATGTTGGAGCAATGACGTGGTTGCCCTCTGCAGCCCAGGCCATAGGTATCTTCCTTCCCTTGCTTTCCATAGTCACATAGGCTTGGCTTGCTGTACTCCTCACCACTCACTGAGACCTGGAGGATGGCACTATGCTAGTGGCTGAACCAGGGTTCTCCTAGAGGTGAATTTAGAGATGTTCCCTCTCAAACCTCCTGGCAGCCACACAGTGGAGAAGAGATGACCCCTTAGGGGAATATCTGGAAATTGTTAGGATTGGGAGAAAGGACAGCAATGGACATTCTACATATTCACTTACCACCCCCCCCCCACTAGTCCCCCTAGGGTGTTAGGATTTAATTCTTGCCTCATCTTCCCAAAGGGACATTAGCCACCTGAATTATATAGCAGGATGCTAAGGGGACCAGAAATTATGTCCCGTTAAGAACTGTGCAGGAGTGATACTGGAGAAGGCAGGATACCTAGGCACAGGTGATCATGGCTTTCAAGAATATAAAACCCAAGGGCAGGGGGTTGGCAAAGCTGTACAGGATGACTTGAGCTGTCCATGTCCTAGATTGGAGGGCCTAGATTTTGCTCCTCACTCTACTTCCAATTCCAGCTTCCTGCTAATGTGCACCCTGGGAAGCAGCGAGTGATGGCTCACGTACTTGGGTCCCTACCAGGTAGGTGGGAGACCTGGATTGAGGTCCTGGCTTCTGACTTCAGTCTGGTCACACTTGCGCTGTTGTGGGCATTTGGGGAGTGAGCCAGCAGATAAAAGATCTTTTTTGTGTGTGTCTGTTCCTGTCTCTCTGCCTTTCAAATAAAGTGAGAATAAATAAAAATGTATGAAAGAATATAAAACCCAATCCAAAGAGAAGCAGTGTCTTATATTCATGTCCCTAGGGTTTAGTGGATAGCTGGCACATAGCAGATGCAGCGTGCATTGCTACGGTTAGAAAGAATAAATTGCAAGGTCGAGAATGGTCTTTTCCTTGAGTGTGTTCTGTCAGGCATTGGCTGACTATCTGTTGGGGAGTTAGTGATAGAAACTGTAGCACAGATGAGGCTAGACAACCTGGATTTATGAGCATGAAGCTAATGACTGGATGGAAAGAGACTTTTGGGACCAGTATGGCTTATGGAGTTTGTGAATACATAAAAAAGGCTATGAATATGGTGGGGTGATGGTAACCAGAGATCTGCCAAGTATTAGATGTGCAGCTCCAGAGAAACAATATCTCTCTATCCTCATTTTCCTGCTCTGAGAATTAGAAACAGCAATCATTGCACTGTCTACTTCTCATGCTTGTTTAGAGCAAGTGTGCTGAGTTGATAGATGCCTGCCTGTTTTGTATACTTTAACACGTGGTCCATGCATTATAGGTGATTATAGTTAATTTCTTTTTTTGAAGATTCATTTTGAGTATAAAGAAAAATAAAACGATGTAAGTCAAGAGCCCAGCACCACATCTGGTGCATAGTACATGCTCAATGCATGACCTTCCTGTATCCGCATCCTCCTGACACTGGATGGGCACTAACCAGTTCTCAGCGCTGGACAGGAGTTACATCTGGAACCTTGTTTAACAGTGATGGTTAATGTTGCAGTAGGATGGCGTAGGATTATTTTCACATTTACTTTGCGGCAGGAGGTGGAGGGAGATATATTTGGAGACCTCGGAAGCTTGATGCTTGAGCGCTCCCGTGGAAGCTGCGGTCTAGCCTGTTTGGCTCTTGCTTTGTTTGATTAGATAATCACACCTTCTGCTCCAGGCTCGACTGGCCCAGTGGGAGTCAGGAAGGAAATTATTTTCCTCTGTTGATACCAGTGTAGTATTGTTGACTGTAGCCAAGGGCTTTCAGTTTTAATATTTCCTCTTTGGTCCTCAGAAGTATCAGGTATTAGTCTGTGCCGGAAGCAAAGCATTGGTCACTTCCGTCCGAGGTGAATGTCTTGGCTCTCAGCTGTTACCCAGTCAGGTTGTTTCTGGGCCTGTGTGACCATCTGCCAGCTTTTCTTGCTTCTATGTTGTTTGCTTTAAATGTTATGAGAAAGTTTGCTGAGTCTGAGCAGTGACCCATCTGACCTCTGAGATTTTGAGGCTCTTCATGGAACCCCTCGATATCTTGTAGGAGGTAAGCTTATTGTCTTGAAAGTAAAAGGTAGAGCCATCTCTCTATTGATTTCTTCCACCTAATTCCACATTCTCTCTCTTGGTCTTGTGCTCAGTGGAGAGCTACCACTGCCATATCTTGAGGATAACCCCAGGAGGTCAGAACCCTTGGGGTCTTCCTCATTTGGTTACCCTGCAGCAGAAGGCATCTGATGGCTGAGTGGATAGAATCCGTGGTGGATTGCTACCAAGTGTCTCCCATTGTTCCTGGATTATGTGGTTGTTTGCCTCCATGATTCCTGTGTTTGGATATTAGTGACCCCAGGATATTCAGGATACCATAGTAAGTTAAGGACGATGCCTGATCTCAAGAAGTTTGTAGTCCTGGCCTTGAGAAACTTACAGTGGGGGAGAAAGACACACTTAAAGGAGAGAAATATGCATTAGAGAATATTGTTGGCAACACACGTTTATTACTCATCAAATATATTTCAGGTTTCCTGCTAGGTATTTGGGAAATCAAGGAAAATAAGTTACAAGTTCAGTTGTCAAGGGGCATCCATAATGGATTGGAAGGGTAGAGAGCATTGGGCACATCTGGGGAGGTTTCTATGAGCAGGATATCTAACCTCAGAACTTGCCAGTGGGCCATGGAGCTTTATGGCACAAGCCCAACTTGTTTGTAGTTGTTTCCAACTCATTTCCTACCCATGTGCTGTTATGAGAAAGTGCCATGTTGGCTTGGTGGTGCACAGCAGTTATAGCCACTGTATGACCATAGTCATCTCTGTGTGGCCAGTGCATGCTTGAGTATATGTCACCAAGCTGGGAACATTGCTGCCTTCTTGGGGACAAAGGTCTCTTTCGAAAGTTCCTTATACTGAGTCTCTATGGTTTGCTTTCTAGGCCTCATGAAAAATGGTGATCTTAGTGGGGGCCATTTGAAAATCCAGGACTGCACTGACAATTTTAACACTGTTAGTTATCTACTGCAGTATAGCGAATTACTTGCAAACTTGGCACCTTAAAGCAAGACACATTTTTTATCTCACAGTCTTTTGTAAGTGAGGAATTTGGGGACAACTTAAATGGATGCCTCAGCCTCTCTCAGGAGGTTGTGTTCAGGTTGCTGAACCTGCATTCTCCTCTGAAGGCTCAGCTGAGGGAGATCTAGCACCAAGTTCACTCACATGGTTGTTGGCACGATTTAGTTGGATCAAGAGCTTCAGTTCCTTGCCACATGGGCTTCTCCATAGGGCAGCTCTAAGTGACCAATAAAAGTTCCCAAGATGCAAGCCACAGTTGTTTTGTAACCTAATCCTGGAAGTGACCTTCCCCGCCCCCTTTACCTCTGCCTCATTCTCTTTGCTAGAAGTGAATCACTATATCC